CATAAGGATTACAACTGAAGCCGTCAAAAACTGAACCAAAGTATTGTTTACTGCAATACTTTCCATATATATTTTCAAAATCTTGCCGTTATACTATACCATAATTTTTGTGAGTCCTGTACGGGATGAGCCATGGAAACACATTATGGGCATTTCAAGAATTTGCTTTCAGAAGAGTCATGTCACGCCTATGAATGCTCTCCTCTTCTTGTGGAGAACGAAAGTAATATCGTACTATTGTACCTATAGGCGAAGAATCGAAACGATGGCAGAGTGTTTTATGCTTGTAACCTTACTAGCTTTAAAGACGTTCCTGTAGCAGGCTCTTCCCTGCTTGCCCCGATTCAACAGAATCATGGTTGAGTGACATAACGACGTTGACTACCAAGGCGTTTATAAACAGATCTCTGCAGCAGGCAGCAATTTAATGCATTTGAGGTTTGAATATTGAGTTCCCGACACACTGGCTATTTTGTATGCATGCACAGAATCCGCAAAGCATGATACATATGTGAACTATTCCGTGAGTACAGATTTTGCCATTCGCTTTTTTTAAATCATAGGTAATCCTTTTTCACTCACGCCCCACTCACGTAGAAACCAGAAAAAACGAGGTTTTACTAGTGACATTCACCTAAAGAAAAATATTCATAGAAAAAAGCCTAAAGTTTTTTTTCTTTTAAAGAAAGACAGCTCTGGGACGCATAACCGAGACTTGGATAGTTTATGGTAGTCCGGGTCAGTCAATATCGCCACCATACAGTTGTTATAATGATCGCTGGAGACAGCGGCGACTGACTTGCTAGTGGTAAGCTATTACATACTCACAGCTGGCCAGAAAAAAAAATACATAGTAGTTATACGTCCGTCTCTCTTATTCACGCTACCAAGTAAGATGCCTTCATCCCGCGTTTGATCTTTTCAGATACCCTGCAAGCCTGCGGTGACACGCTGCTGTCATGACTCACGTATATAATATATTTTAACATTCCACTCTCAGTGCAACCAGAACAGCAGCTTCTATGACGTATGGGATGCTGACGTAGGAAGATGTACGAGAACTAGTCCCGTAGCCGTAGCCCCCGGCGTCTTTCTTCGTAAGCCTCGTAAGGGCCTCTGTCTGCAGCTTGAAAACCGAACAACAGAGCTCTCGGAATAGTGATCCCGATGATTTCGCTAGCGGCACGGCCTTGAAACCGTGTACTGCAGCAAATAGCGCTGCCCCTACGGCCTCGTTGAGTATTCACTCAGTAAAAACTATCTTTGGGGGCATTGCAGGGACAAACAAGCGGGGCGATTCCAATAAACAGACGGAGACGCGCTTCGTGGCTCATACGGATTGTTTAGTTCACCAAGTATTCATATTCCGAATGTCTGAGTGTGTCAGATGCTATCGTACGCGCTGGTCTCGAAGAAAGCTGGCACTATCCATGACGATCTTGTTAATGGATTTGTACTGGTTCAAAAGCCCAGATAATGCCTTTATCACGGTACGGGCTGTTGCACGACGAACCAGGAACAGATGAAGGAAACAAGTGTTAATAGATAGTAAAAACAAGAACAGGGGGTTTCCGAGGCATATGCAACGGCCCGATGAAATCCAAATTATGTTTACGAAAAAGCATGTCGACGATTTACAGGTGTTAGGGAAAAACGGCGTTCGTGGCCTAGTTTTGTCTGACAAATTCACACAACTGCAGACGTGCCCCGGATCTTCGCGCAGATGCCTCTTTCTGAAAATTAACGAACCGTCTTTGCAGTCTTTGCTAAACCTGGGTGACATCTGTAGCAGAAAGAATACCACCAGATCGGGAAAATGCTACAGTGTGGATCGCCGTAGCAGAAATCGGCCTATTGTCCCATTCTTCAACGGCAAGACCGCCTGACTATTCTCCGGAAGATAGTCACTACCTGCGCCCAACGCAGGCTGCCAATGAATGTACTGTAAGCGATTCGGAGCCACAATCGTCACTTATCGCTCCTCCCCGCAATGTCATCACATAACCACGAAAGCATGTTCGCAACATGCTGAAGTCATATTCTAACGATTCGAAAGCCATAGTGCTTTCCAAACAAAAGGCACAGATGCTTGAGCGCCGGGACTGTATGTAGCCACCAAAAACCGCCATCCATTGGCTGTGGGTAGAATTTTTTCGCCCACGCAACGACGGATTTCTTAAAAATGAAAGACACCTACACTATTACGCGCTTCACGTCCCTATAAAACGAAACGCATATCTTTCCCAGACCGGCGTCGTTCAGCGGGTCATGATTGGTTGAGGCTTGTCGGAAATGTTTGCAAGATAGGTGCACCACTCTGAGTTTCTTTCAAAGCGAGAAAAAACCCACTGCTGTGAAACTCAGCCCACGCGAAAGAAATGCCCATATTTAACAATTCGTATAGCAACCTTGCGACCCTGGTTCTCCTTTGGATCTTTGTAGCTCTTGGAGCTTCGCTCGAAACGATAATAATAACGCTAACCCTAAAAAGCTCCAGAACTGACGAACAGGATTGAATGACGGTAAAAGCGTCTATCATGACAAACTTTTTTGATCAGTATAGTTACTTGCGGAAAACCCTATATCCGAAACACACGACTTACTATGTAGAAATTGAACACGCCCTAAGGTGTAGACCGGGAATAATGAGAACAGTTCTTACACAGAGCGGTCATACCGTTTATAGGACACGGTGTGAATGCTCCCTGAATTCCCAAGGTAATATATTGATGCCGTGGAGATTGGACAGAACCATCTGGTTCTGGAAATAACCGGTTCACCAATCACCAAAGGGCATGCGTTTAATTGATATACATCGTTTGAAGTACTATAAAGAACTGTTTTTCTTGGTTACCTCGTTCCTTGGAGAGTTGCTAGTAACTACCCGTAAACTCCAAGATGAAAGATCTGAGCGCTTTTCAATGTGCCAAGAGCGTTGTAGAGCCGTAGGAGTGGAAATACCTCTGCATAAGTAAAATAAGATGAAAGCTTTTCACCAATATGACCGAAAAAGCTCATGGACTGGCCGGGAACTCCGTCACTCTTACTGTTCTTTGCTTAAAGACGGATCCGTTATGCTAACGCCGTTCACCGCAGATATGCGTACCGACAAAGGCGCTTATTAATAGGTACGATATTAGAAATTATGATGATTGACGAAGTGCGTAAATTCTCTGACATTCATGGCAGCTTCATCGGATGCTTACGAGGGACCCAGTAAGTGGTACACTTCTAAGCTCGACCTATTCCGGTGTTTTTTTTTACACAAAGTAACTCTCATTTGAGCTTCGTGACTAAGACCTACAACCCTTATGATGGGGACCTCACGCCCTTTCTGAGTCACTAACGCCCTTTCAGTGCGTCACACGGCGGTCGCTATTACCCATTTCGACGGCTTCGAGGGTATCGGGCTGGCCTCGCTTGGCCAAGACGGGATGAGACTGACTCGATATACACCGTAACACACCACCTGCTTTCTAGCCAGAACGTAATAGTTTCTTGGCTGCCGTCAACGACAGCCAACATCCCCATCTGGGCTCATGGAACCACCTGATCAGTTTCCGTTGTTGCGGCGGCCCATGCAGAAACCCGATGCACAAATCCGGCCTTGAGACAAGCCTCCGCGCCGGTATCCACCGCATCCTACAACATTATTAATTCGATGTAAATTAAATTCCAAAGAAATAGCAGCTCCGATGAATCAGTGTTATATCACCTTCGCGGAAAGGTTTGTATACGTTTAGGAAAGGCGGGCAATTAACTTGCAAGTGATGCTATTCTCGACGCAGATACTATATATACGACAAAGCTGAGCAGGCGCGGCCTCCCTTATTGTTTTTCCCTTCGTTACGATCTTCCCCCGTTTAACGCTAGGCGGTTTGGAGGACGCCATATGAGCTAAGATTAGTCGCCGCAATAGTTTTCAAAAGCATTAACTGTTTTTTAATATTATATTAAATTACAAAAGTCTGGATAATCCCGCCTTTTCTCCAGTCTTCATCCGCTCGTATAAATCTCCTGGTTGATTGACCGGAACTGTCTGTGCTATATCTGTTTGAATCCTCCGGTAGACTAACCGGAACCATCCGTGTAATATCTATTATAAACCTCCCAAGTATTTGCCCCCCTATAGTTCCTAGGTTATACAATGTTAGGATCGGTTATCCAGATATGGCCTCACCTGTCGGAACACCTGTTCTTGTAGCGACTGTGCTAAGGCGCTTCCATTATTTTCTAAAACGCCTGAATCCGACCATTTAGTAGAACGGCTCCTGTTGAAAGCTAACATTCCGGCTTCTTTTATTTGCTGCGAACTCTCTACAAAGCACCGGATTAAGTCATCCATATTTTCTCGAAATATCACCAAATTTCCGACGACAACAAAACTCGACCGTTAAACACTGACGAGTAACGGGTTGGCGAGAGAGTATTATATACCCACAGCTGCACGGTAGTGGGAATACATTTATAGCAACTATTCATGCGTTTGTTTTAATATAGATTGTCCCTATGTTAATGTCATGTATATATTAACAAATAACAAATCGCAACGTCGGGCCATGCCGAAACGAAATTTTGGTCATCATTATTCAGATCCTACAGAGAACACTCTTGTACAGGGACAATAAGGCTTCCTAGTGAGCGCTTTACTTGATTGCTGATAAAATTATCGACGGGACGACATTGAATACAGCAATGTACTGTAGTTGAAGAGCTTTTTTTAGCTTGAAAACGGAGCAGATGCAGTCACCAGTTGGTACGTAGCTTTTTGTCTGTCCATAACACCATCCTATTTCGCATTTCAAAATGTAGCTCCAACTAGGATTTAACCATGCTTGTTGGGGCAATTTTAGTATAAAGAGCTCTACCGCTACCTACCGTCCTTTAGTTCTTAGATAGTGGTACTGAACGGTTACAACACCGTACAAAACGTACATATAATTAGTAAAAAAAACATGGAAAGAAATACAAACTTCCGAATAAGCAACTGATTTTCTCACCTGAATCCAGTTCCAGCGAAGACCCCATAGAAAAGAAGTAAAGATGGAACCGACGACGCGAGTGTGGTTGCGCATAAAGATATGCATGCCATCAGGCTACCCGCAATACACACCTGCCGATAAACACAAAATTCATAGAAACGCTACATTATTATTATTGAATTTTAATGACTATGCGCAAGTAAACTACCACAGTTTTAAATCATTGTTTATCAATATTCACCTGCAACTAGTAAGATATTAATGCGTCATTCGCGAATGTCTTCTCATTTTTTTAACGTGTATATTTTATTACGGCTTCACCTCGGAAATTATATTGTGATATTCTTCGGCCACCAGCAAGGCAAACCAACATAACGAGAGACACGCAGTTACGACTAACGGTGTTTACAGCGAAAAATCCTACCCAAGCTTATTACATTTACTAAACCTGCTGCGCGGCAGTGAATGCAACGTCGTTCTATTTTATAAAAACGTCAACCTCGAATTACCTATTTTGATAATTAGAACATTTATTCCAGAAATATAATCGAGCGGTTGCGTTAAAATATTTTAGGTTCCGCCCTCATTGAATAGGTATGAGGGCGGCTCTGATAATACAAATAGCCCTATCGTCTTAACGGAGCTGGGTTTGGACATGCTTCTGAAATTCTCTAACAGGTGTTTTCTAGTAATATTTGATTACCAGTTCTGTTAATGTCTGAACTTTGTAGCCTTTTCTGCATTGTCGTTCATATTCTATCGAACCTTACTAAAGAATACACTGAATATGACAAAAATGTTAAATGTGTGCTGCTAAAGTCAATGCATATTAGTAGCCAATGGTACCAATCTCTTAATCGCTAAATTACCTTTGTACCCTAACAAAATCATACCATGTGCACGTTCTAATGATATCATATCGTTATTTTTAAGAATAACAGCGTAATAAAGTATAAAACATTTTCATGGTCTTCTAAACTTTTGCCATATTTGTATCCTTTATTAATAATTTTACAAGAATCTCAAAACAATGCGGCTTTTAATAAGAACGGCTTGTTAGCTAAATATCGATGGATTCCATAGTAAAAACGTTGCCAAGGTCATACTAATTAATACGTTTAGGCTGGTCACTCACCGTGCGTTATATAATAATATAATAATCTTGCTCAGCATAGTTGAAATAGGAACTATTAGGAATACCTGCACATTCTATAACGTGCTAAACTAGCTATGTAAAATGAATATAGTAATATGACGGAAAATGTAGCAAACACGTGTAAGGAACTAAGAGAATAGACTGAAAATAACTAACCGGAATGTAATAGCAGAATATTTTGGTAAAAGTCAAATAACAATGCCTGCGATTATTGCGATTTCATATTAATTTGCCTGAAGCTCGTACCTTTCGGCATCCAAAACGATTTGTGAGCGCCGAAACGAGGGGTCCCGCGGAGAGATAAAATCCAGAAAGCAAGGATCCAGCCCAAGTAATTACAGATTTTGTCGATTCGAATGAAGAGACTAATTCAGGAAGAAATAGCCCAAATGTGTAAGCGATACCTGAAATCTCAAAACAAATTGATTCAGTTAATTTCATCTATTATGACACCACTTTAATGAGTGAATATTTCTTAAATCTTCGTTTAAATCCTAAAGAACGCAAATCCTATAATAGTTTAAAATCAGTATGCATCTACAGATTTCTTTGATACTCATGGTGTTAGATTATACATGATGTATAATGTGGAACTTTAGACTAACGGTAAGGGGCAATACAAGAGCATGTCTAGTGGATTCGTTTGCATCAAAGGGAGTTCCGAATTTAGTAGTGCGGCGGTTAGAGCTGTTGACGATACTGGTAAGCGGAAAGAATAACTTCGATGAAATTGGACCATTCGAAAGTAAAAAGGGTGAGGCAAGCGTTGTATATTTTATAGTTAAAGCAACTCATTTGAGGTAATGATATAATCTATGAAGGTCTTTTGCGGTTCTTAACAAATTTGATCCGCAAAGCATCGTTCTGGATACGTCTGGGTAAGCCCTACCAGATATTCTTAAAGAGCCACCTACCATACGAAAGTGAATATCGCAGCACTGGTAGCGACAGCACCTTGCGAATATCAAAGAGATTTTACTTAAAACACAAATTTCCTTGAGTTCGTCAGTCTCGCAATGGTAGCGTATCATTCAGGCACTTGAAGTGAGCCCGCCATTTCATGGTTCTTTGAAGATGCAAATCTAAGCATATCAAACATGGGACAACATAATCCGGATCCCACCTGGCACAACGCGTTATAAATCGATGATCCGCATAACCGCTGGTCTTATATATGCTCCCTTTTTTAAGCAAATTGTAAGATATAAAGATGATGAACATGTGAGATGCCCCTAAAATTCGAGTCTTACATTGTTCCGACGTTGAATTATTTTTATCATAACTTAATAAGGCCATGGCTCGGTTGCCCGCTGTTTTCCAGAAAGGCATGGCTTGAATCAATCAATAAAATCTGGTGTGCGACCCAAATATTGCAATATTTTTAGAAAGATCGAATAACTTAAGCAAATAAAAACAGACCCAGTATTTAAAACAAAGCAAAGCAGACCTAGCTAAGTTCAATCCCGTTAACGATTTTTTGCATGGAATGGTCCAATGCTAGTTCCGTCGACTGCCACCTCCGAGAGCCAAATTGGAACGAATGAAATTTAGCACTTCCAAGGTGTACGTCAAATGTGTTAACCATTAACTTTCAAAAACTTCGGACAAGTAGTCAACCAGAGGTATTGGACGGCAATTAGCAACCCAGACCAATTCTTGTTGGTCCTTGAATAGTCTTCGCTTTTTTTTTATCTAGTTGGAAGGGAAAGAATAGGTTGACCATACTGGGTAGCAGACGAATAAATACTAACGCGATATACCTCAATTGCTTGTGCGAAACATTAGTAGCTTCGTAATCACATTCAGCTTTTGCACGTTCGAAAACCATTTGGACAAGGAACACATTAATATAATTTAATCTGAGCGAAGCTCGTTTCGTCTGCCACTTAGATGTTGCATAGTCTCACCGTCAGCACTATCGTCGAGGGAACAAACAGTGGTAGAGATGATAATTCCGAAGAATCTGTTAAGTTAATCAATAACAGCTGAGGGCTTGGAGCGGCTATTCGAAGACGGCGTCGACTATTTGTGGTAGAACCGCTTTGGATTTTTCTCTACCATGCAGTTCTCCGATAAGTTTGTAAAGATTAGAAGTAAGATCCTTTAAATCCAGCCTCCTAAATCGGCTCTTCCAAAACGTGGGAACATTGTATATCTCCGGAGACCATTGTGATGAAGCGGCCTAGATTGCTATGTGGCATTCTTTAATGCCATGTATACAGCTCGTTGATACAGTGCATAAGTCGTGGAAAACCAGGTAAGAACTCAAGCTTACTTGCATTCTAAGCTAAACTCTTATCCTCGCCCACAACAAAACATATGTCCTACTCATAAAGAGCTGATTACAAGAAGCCTTGAGAACCAACTTGCATTATGCTTTGAGTCAACTGAAACTCTGTAGTCGATTCATAATCAGGTCCACAAAGAATATGTCGACGAGTGGCTAATGGATCTTCGAGAGATCTACTAAGAATGCACAACGACGGCATAAAAATAACGAACGAATAATAACGAAAAATAACGAAAGATAACCAACAGTAATCAAAGAAAAGCGGTGTTGACCAACTTTTAGACACTATGTATGGATACCTGCCTCGGTCTGTCACACTACATGTGCTCGAAAGAGATAAGTAACCTAGCGTGACAGTGGTCTCTGGAAGAAAAAACACTACGTATTCTTCACAGGAACGCCTACTGAAAGGATGTACCTTCAAGTCACCAAACAATAAATAATGAAGAGTAAAACTTGTAGATACTACTACATAAAAAATATCAAGTCGTTGCTGTGAGTAAAATAACTGTATTGAATAACAACTTTATGTCACTCAAAGTCAGATTTTTTCCTTACAAAAAGATCGGCCGTTTGATATATCCCACAAAAATTTGCACGTCACCGTCGCGTCTTTCACACTTAAGTCCACAAGCAGAAAAGCTGAAGCCAGAACTACCATAGCTAGCATAACCAACGCTTTTTAACCACGTTTCACCATATCATATCTAGATCCTTCATCTCTGAGTAAGGTGATCAAAAACTTTAATTGCCCTCTTTTCCTGAGATCTTTGTTCCCAAAATTAATAACAATTACAGCGAAATGATTAACCGCGTGGGGAAGGTTAAACCAAGTTTTACGATTGTCTATATTATAAGTTTAAATGTATCAATGACATTAAATGCGACTATCGCGTCCGCACTGATGCTGAGGGTAGCAGCCATTAGAGGGCCGAAAACGCTCACAGGGCTTTATAACGATGCCGCAGCTTCTGCATACACTATCTGGAGAACAGCCTTCGACATAAAGGATCCGTTTATAGGCTTTTTAGTCATTGGAGTTTTATGACTCAACAATTTGGATTATCTTCTTCTGAAAAACTTGACTAATCTCTTCATAGACTTTACTGACGAAATGAACTAGCGTAAGATTGAGGTCGCAAACAAAAGATTTATGCTAAGTTCATTTCCAGTACGAGTGTCAGCCAGGGCATATAACTTGCTTTCGGCAGATGTTTTACCCGATCTTTCAAATAAAGTGCTGGTGAAGATATATCAATCCTTTCAAAACTGATCGCAGTTGGATGAGTTTGACCTTTTGAAGCAGTTGCAACTCCATCCACGTCTTCCGTTCCTTAATTTTATATGCTTAAGTCGGTCTAAATAATGAAGTAGCTGAATAAGCTTCCTTACGGTTTATACATTTAGATGCAATCTTATGACTGAAAGCCAGACGACCGGATTCGCCGCAATTCATACAGACTATTTCACTTCCAGATACTACAGCCACGTAAACCAATGTTTGATACCTTAAGCAAGGGACTGAAACTTCAACACACATGATGACCTTGTGAAGTTTGCGCGCCAGAAACATTCATCCAATGTAACTTTGGAGCACAAAAAAACGCTATTTTTGCTAAAAAGCTCAACGCTTCTTTACTAACGGCAACCAGCCCGGTATTTGTAAGAAACTTCTGTCTACTTTAACAATTCTGGCTCGCTTATGTGCCATTGCATGCAACATTGCATGGTTATTAGATTATAGAAAACAACACAAATCCATAATCTTTTCTGCATTTTCTGATGCACCTGTCCACACATGAATTACACCAAGTCTGGGTTCTGGTTTGAAACAAAAGTATGTCCTGAAAATCTTACAATTTAGCGATTAAAGGTTTCCCTGAAAATTGTCCGTCTTCAGTGTTGTCATTTTCTCAAGCGTCTTTTCTATCTTTTACGTAACCGCAACGCAAAATAGTTCCTTCGCGTTCATTAGGGCCTTTCTACAAATCGCATTTATCTGGGTTTTTACTGTTTCTTCTTCACGATACTCTTGCGGACCACTCTTCATAAGAATTGGAGGTTGTTTCTTGATCACTCTCTTTGCTGCTTTCACCGAACGGTTTGAGCACTACTTTTCTTCATTGGTATGGTTATAGTCAAGCTACTGTCTAACAAAGATACGCCAAAAAAAAAGGCTGATTGACTCTCGAATTTACCTTATTTTTCTTTTTTTCGCTAGCTGTAGTGGAGGTCATACTTGATAGAGTGGCTATACTACGAGTGGTAACTTGAGGCGCTGTCGCTTCCCCACGGGCAGGCAAATGATAACGAATGGCAGATTAAGAGAGCACAACCCAAATCAGTTGGACAAAAAAACAACGAGTGAAATAGAAGCCTCGCTTGAGACTCACCAACGAGCTGCGCAATCGGCTGAACCCTCGACTTACACTAAAAACCGTGTGTACCGATGTCTTTCGCCGTTACAACTATGCGCTGACATCAAATAGGAAAAAATTTAAGTTCCAGCACTGGCATATTGTGGTGCAGTTAGATGCAGCAATTGGCAAGGATTAGCTAAATTGATAGTAACTGCTAATTTCAGCCCTATAACTCGATAATGATCCCCAGTTTACGTGACCATGAAACCCGCATCTACTACCTTCTCAGCAACTATAAAAGGGATTGCCTTTCGGTGCCGCGGATTTTAATAATCCATAGGATTGAATTTATTAGTATTAAGAATACGCAGAGCCATTGTAAGATCGTTCTAGGTGAGACGTTTCAAATGTGGTTGTGAAGGAGGGTGACGTAAAGGGCCATGTGTGTGTAGTGGCAGTGAACAGTGAAATATTTCCGCGGACCTAAGATGAGAGCGTGTGCTCTAAAATGTGTGGTTGTGAAGAAACAACCTCCTGAAATTTTTATAAGAGCAATGCTACACACAAGCTAAAGTGTACACTATCACGCGAAAAGTAATCAAGAAAAAGTCGCAGAAAAAGAAAGTAGTTTCTACCCATTTAAAATAATTTCTGAACAAAAAAGCTGCGGTTAGCAAGGACCAAGGCTAAGGACTCGAGCTTTGCAGCAACCTGTGGCGGATCTGCACAAGCTTATTTAATATGGCATTCAATG